TTACCTCACAGTCCCTTCCCCTCCCCCCAACAGACTACTTGGCCACTCCTAGATCCCTCCCACAGTCTCTCTGTATATAAGGTCCATCTTGGATCCATTAAGGTGCTCAGATTCTTAAAATCTAGCCAATAGCTCACAAAAGTTCAGACTCCTTAAGAGTCTGCCCAATATGACAGATGTTCTAATAAACCTTGTCTTGGTTGGGTCGAATTCATTTGGACAGGACCTGCGTGTTGTGATTTTGGGGTCCCAGCACCCCTTAACCCCTAAACCTCAACAGTGGGAGACATGCTTCATCATTAGGCTTCTGTAATCATGATTCGTTACTGTTTTGATAAGAGTTCTCAAATCAAAATTGTTTTCATTTACCATGTTGTGCTTAGTGTATAAGACATGTATGTGGATAGATATTTAATATATAGAATGGTTGGCTTGTGTGTGGCAAGGATAGGTATGTGTTTTCTATCTTTGTGGGGAAGAAAACGAGGGTGGTGGCTGGGCACTCATGCATTCAAGAGTCTATCTCCAGGGGAGGTATTGAGAAATAATTGCCACCTGTAGGGAGATACAGGAGCTGATGTGTGTCAGGGGATTCTCTCAATTTCTTAGAGGCATACCCATCAGCTGGGGGGTGGAGAGAGGTGGGGAAGGTGGGGGTGGGGGAATTCTATGACTCAATCAAACATCGCAGGCCTAACTGAAAGCTAAGACATTTGTTAGCAAGCTAAGGAATTTGATCTCAATGATACAAATTCAGATTCCTGAAGAACAAATTTGGTTTTTGTAAAGTTTCAGACCCTTTTAGAATACACAATCCACATTCTTTGGCTACTTAGGATAGAAATGTAAAGCATTTCACTGGAGAGAAAGAGACAATCAATCCTAGGAGAAAAGGGGAGTATTTGGAATGAAAGCAATAGGATTTATTGTCAGAATAAGAAAACAAGGGGAAATTCAAGGGCTAGAGACTAGGAGAAGAAATCAAATAGTTTTACAATTGTAAAAGCAGTCTTTTTAGGCAAAACAGCATCTCTTATCCAAGACAAAAGGTAGTGGTTACAACAATGGATGATACTCTTTCCCCATTTCTGCACAGGGTCTGGGAACTTTCTAATATTATGTCTCCCTGGGTAGTTGAGGGATTTCCACATTGTTAATCCATTAAGATGTAGTGAAATGATTATGGCTCTTGTTTTTTCCTCCATGCGCACAAGTCTAACTACCATTATCTCCTGGATTTGTGACCTTTCCTCAGATCATGATTGAGATAGCCCAAGGCCCTGAGCCCAGGAAACTGGGGAATAGTAGTACATTTCAGACCACTGGTCCTACTTCCAGCCTGGGCCTCATAACCATCATTGAGAGGAACAATCACTGTGGAAAAAGAGATCCCTTTCTTCATCACTATCAACACCAACTGCTAGAAGTAGCAAAATCCTCAGATTGCTGATTTCTGCTTCTAGCCCACCCCCCCAAAGCCATCATCTTGGGAAGCAACCCTTTTTGGAGAGGTAGCCTGGCAAATGCTTTGATTGTTGCTACAGCCCTGTCTCCTCAGAAGCCACAGTAACTAAATATAATAATAATAATAATAGTTATAGCTAACATTTATATAGCACCCAGCCGCTTTACAATTCCCATCTCTTTCTCACAACGACCATTTGAAGGAGATGAGAAAAATGAGGCAAATGAAGGTTAAGTGACTTGCCCAGGGTTACACAGCTAGTAAGTATCAAACCACTACCCAACCTAAAGACCAGGGTCATCATTAAAGTCCTTGGGACTGTCAAATGTTTAATAGCAGAAACAGATGTTGAGGTTTTAGAGGTTTAGTGGTACTGGGACCCTGAAATAGACAACACACAGATACTGCCTGAATGAATTCTACCCAAGTCTTCTTTCAGCCAAAGACAAAGTTGATTAAAGATCTGCTACATTGGCCAGACTCTTTAAGGAATAACGTTAGTGAGCTATTGGCTAGATTTTAAGAATCTGAGCACTTGGCTATACTCTTAAACAATTTGAGCACCTTAAGGGAGACCAGATGGACCTTATATACAGAAAGTCTGTGGGAGGGATCTAGGAGTGGCCAAGTAGTCTGCGGTGATTGGACGAGGGGTCTAAGGAGGATCTGGATGGGAGTGGCCAGTAAACTGGAGAGACTGTGAGGTAACAGAAAAGCCAGGGACCTGGACCAAGTGGCCAAGGGAGAATGGAGCTTAGATAGGATTAAGGGTGGGAAGTGCCAGGGCTCTAGGGAGGTAAGACAATGGAGGGCTAGGCTAGGTTAAGGGTAACAGAGAATTGGGAGACTGGGCATAAACAATAATGAAAGTCCAGTTGATAGGATTATAGCCTCAGGAGAACACCAGAGATTTGGCCATGTGGGAAAGTCTAGGGCTTTTCCTTTTTGGGATCCAGATCCCAAAGACATGGCCTTTTCCTTTTAGGAGTTCAGACCTCATTCCCATCATCAGCACATTGCTAGATGCTTGACAAATGCTTTTTCACTTATTAATTCATGTCTATCACAACTCAAATATTTGTAGACTAGGAGTCCAATGCTGTCTTTTGGAGATCAGAATAAAAGTCACTTTCCCTGGTTGCTCCAAAGGGGATGGTAACACCTTACTCTCACCAGCTTTGCTCCCTCCCACAAAACCCCTGGTATAGGAAAACAATTTGGAAAAGTGAGCAAACCTGTTTACCTAAGCAAATAGTACAAAGAAAATGAGGAAATTATATAATTTAGAGTAGGTGAAAGAATATGTAAGAGTAAATAAGCTCTCCAGAAAGGAAATGTAATTTTGGTTTAACCAAGGAGAGAACACTCTCCGGGAAGTCTTGGAATGACATCTTGAAGGGACCCAAGTTCCCCACACGTCTGTATCTCTGGAGAGGTTTTCTGTACATCATTACAAAGTTTTCATCTTATCTCTCATCTGTGTCTTTCAAACTCTGCTTTTGAGGTTTGGGTACCTTATGCAATGTCCTGGATCAGAGGACTCTGAACTTCAATCAGGAATATCTCTCCACATACGAAACACTGAGCATCACAGGCCCATCCTTCAGGAAACAACCCAGGTTTGGGGCAGGAGTGGGTTATCATAAAGATAATTTTAGTTTTCTTCACTTCTTTCTGCATCAATTCATACAAGTCTTTCCAGTTTTCCCTTAATCTGTCTCTTTCGTAATTTCTTGTGGAAGGAAGGAAACAAATATTTATTAAGCCCCTGCTATGTGCTAGGCAGTGTGCTAAGTGCTTTACAAATATTATCTCATCAAATATCATCTCATTAATTCTTACAATAACCCTGGGAGATAGTTGCTGTTATTGTCCCTATTTTACAGTTGATGAATCTCAGGCAGACAGTGTTTAAGTGACTTGCCCAGGGTCACAAAACTAGTAACTATCTGAGGTTTACTTTGAATTCAGTCTTCCCTACTCCAAGCCCAGTGCTGGATCTCCTATGTGACCTAGCTGACTATTATGGAGTAATCACATTCCATTCCATTCACATACCATGACTTGTTCAGTCATTCACCATTTAATGGTCACCCACATTGTTTGCAGTTGTTTGCTATAGCAAAAAGTGGGACTATATATATTTTTTATATATATAAGTGCTCTCCCTCTATCTTTTTTAGTTCTAAAATTCACAGCATTATTAACTGCATTCATAAGCCTGTCTTCCCATTTTTGGGGGCCACATGCTGTTTTTCTGCAATTCAATTTTATTGTATTTTAGTTCCAAATTCTCTCCTTTCCTTACCCCTCCCCAATCCATGGAGAAGGCAAGAAATGCAAAGTACATTACAAATATGAAGTCATACAAAAACTCATTTTTGAATTGACTTCTGAAAATATAGTCCTTCTAGCAGCTGTTGTTTTCCATTTTTGTCAGCTTTGACATCTGATAGGTTAAAAGTGGGAAACATAGAGTTGTTTTAATTTTCATCTCTTATTAGTGACGTGGAGTATCTTTTCACATTGTTGGTAGCTTAGACCTCTTTACTTGAAAGCTGTCTGTTTATATTCCTTGGCCATTTACCTCTTGAGAAATAGTTCCTGTTCTTATATGTATATGTGTATGCATTCCCTACATATCATGGATACCAAGCCTTTATCAGAGAAATTTTCCACAAAGATCTTTTCTCAGGTAACTTTTCCATTTTAAGATTAATGGTTTTGTTTGTGAAAAAACTTAAAAATTTAGGTAATAAAAATTGTTCATTTGATCATATCTATCTCTTATTTGGTCAAGAACTCTTCTCTATCTATAACTGAAAGGTATCTCCATCTCTGCACCTGTTACTTTTAAAGTTATTATTATATCTAGATTATATTTACATTTTGAGCTTATATGTGCCAGGCATCATAAAATTTTTCCCAGATTGATTTCTAATTTTCCTAAGCAGGTTTTGTTGAATAGTGAGTCCTTATCCCAATAGTTTGTCTTCGGATTTCTATTTCAATTGCTTCTGGATATTGTGTAAATAATTTATTCCAAGGATAGTTTTCTTTTTCTTTTTTTTTAAACCAGTACCAGATTATTTTAATGATACCGCTTTTTAGTGTAGTTAGTGATCTGGTCCTGCTAGCCTTCCCACCACATCTCCTTCCCATATTTTTCATTATTTCCCTTGACCTTCTTGACCTTTTGTTCCTTCAAAAATTGTTATAATTTTGTCTACTTATATAAAATATTCCTTTGTATTCCATCTTCTGCCTCCATTTTGTTTTCTGGCCAACAGAATGTGAGGGACTGTTTCATTTTGTCTTTGTGTCCCTATCTCCCGGCACAGTGCGGGAACACAGTAGACACAAATGCACAGAATAGAATTGACTTTGCTGGTTAGGCGGACAGAGGAGGGTAGAGTTCAGAGCTCGGAGGACTTTGGCTCTACTCTATGGTAGGAACGGACAGTACGACTACAAGGAGGCCATTCTAGCAGCTTCCACAGATCTACTCTATGGTTCCTGGTTTCCTCCTGCACAGGAAGCTCGGCGGAAGCCATGTTTGGAGGGGGAAGAGAGGAAGTGGCGTCCTCTTCCCTCGCCCAGGCAAGATGGAGTGGAGGCCGCAGGACCTCTAACTGAAGCCCCGGCGCCCAGGAGGGGGCAGGGGCCTGTCCGGTTGGGACAGCTGCCAATGGAGTTGCCATAGGGTGAATGACATCTTAGGGCCCTTCTGGCTCCCCCGGCGTGTAAGCGAGGGGAGGAAGAGACGGTGGCTGCGGGAGGACGAGGGCGCGGCAGAGGGGGAGGGGAGAGGTTACCGCGCTGGAGCCGGGGTGGGGGCGACGGGGGAAGCGGCGCAGGCGCGTAGTGGCGGGAGGGAGGGAGGGAGCCCGGGCGGAGCCGACGCAGGCGCATGGAGGGACGGAGAATGTGGGGGGAGTCTGGAAGGGCAGGGTTAGGAGAGCCCCGAGAGGCTAGGCGGAGAAATAGTCAGGACGGGTTGATAGAAAGTGCGGTGGGTCGTCGGTGATGGTGGGCTATTTGGAAAGGAAGGAAAAAAGCATTTAAACGCCTACTATGTGCGAGGCACTATGCTAAGCGCTTAACGATTATTATCGTTTGATCCTCTAAACAACCTGGGGAGGTAGGTGCTATTAAATAATAGTAGTATTATAACTCCATTTTACAATTAAGGAAACTGAGGCACACACAGGTTAATCCCAGAGTCATCTGCTGGTAAATTTGGTTGGATTTGAACTCAGGTTTTACTGACTCCAGGCCCAACACTCAGTGCCGTATGCACTGCACCAATGTACATTGAAGATATATGACTTTTAGTTGGGAAGGAATCCCAGAGAAAAGGCACCAAGGACAGGAAGAGGGAAGCCTTTTGGAGAAGATGGGGTTTGAATTGACTTTTGAAGAAAGTCACAAGATGCGGTTGAGTTAGAGAGGCCAGGCTTGGGTCTAAGCCACCATAAAGGTACAAAGGTGGGTGATGAGATTGTGGGGAAAATTGGAGGCAGCTTTGGATTTGGAGTTGGTCCTGGGTTCAGATTTGACCTCTGTCACTCATTGGTTTTCCTACTAAGGGTGTCAGGACTTCTCTAAGCTACTTTATTCATCTGCTAGACATTGTTTTGAGTCTCAGATGAGAAATATGTATATGTATGTATATATGAAACATAATATGTAGATAGGGAAAGGCACTAGCAGTCAAGGGATCAGGAACAGCCTTTTTCTGGAAAAAGGAGGCACTTGAACTGGTTTTTGAAGGAAACTAAAATTTCCAAGAATTGGACGTTGAGGAGGGAAAGTATTTCAGGCGTGTGGGATAGTCAGTGCAAAGGAATAGAGATGGGAGATAATCTGGCCAAATCCCAACCTAGGATTACTCCTATGCTCTATTTTCTCCCCTCCTTATCTGCTGCTGCTGAAGTTAGCTGGAGGCACATAAATGAGCTGATTGGGAACACTGCTAATCTCATCTGGGCCCTCACAGCAGCCAGGCTGTGCTTGTATTCTTCAGCCTAATTAATTCCCTTCTCACAGAAGTTGTTAGAAACCTTTCTGTCTTCAAGTCTTTTGCCTTTCGGTTCTCACTACCAGTTCAGTGGAGGACCTCTTTTCTGAGAAAATTCAGGCCAGTCACTGTGAACTTCCTTAAACTTCACTTCAAAACACCTTGGCATCATCCAAGGACCTCTTTTCCTCTAGTCTCTGATAATGAAATGGCTTGTTTTCCTTGCTAGGCCATTCCCACTTCCTGTGCCCCTGATTCCCTTCCGCCCTCTCTAGTACATTGCTTTCTCAACCATCCTTTCTCTCTAAGCTTCACTTTTTCACTATATGCTGCTTGCTTTCCTTCTGCCTCCAAATAGCTCCATCTCCTCTTTCCTTAAAACAGAATTTTACTAGACTCTATTATCACTTCAAGCTAGTGAGCTCACACATACTCTCTATGTGTGTGTACATACACACACACACATACATACAGAGAGGGATCTATATTTCTATATCCCCTTCCTTTTTCAGCCACACTCCTAGGAAAAACTGTCTACTCTCATTCCTTCCACTTCCTCCCACTCTTCAACCTTTTTCAGTCTTGTTTCCATCCTCATTACTTAACAGAAATGGTTTTCCAAATTTCCAGTGCTATCTCACTTGCCAAATATGATACATTATTCCCATTTCTCATTCTTCTCCACCTCTGTGCTGCATTTGACATGGTTGATCATGTTTGGGTATTCTTGTCCCTCTGGATTTTCTTGATACTATTTTTTTTCCCCTTCCTGACTGAACACCTCTCAGTTTCCTTTTGCTGGATCAACTACATAGGACCTGTTATAGACCCTTTTCTTTTTCCTTTGGTAATCTCATCAGCTTTCATAGGTTAAGTTAAATTATCATCTCTGTGCGGGAAAAGTCCCAAGTCGTATATAGCTAGCCCTATTTTCTTTCCTGAGCTCCATTTTCACATCACTGCCTGTTGGGCACCTCAGACTCAGCGTGCCAAAAAGCGTTCTTTTCTCACCTCCCCAAACCCTTTCTCAACAAACTTTCCTTCCAGTCTTCCAGGTTTATAACCTTGGTGGTATGCTTTTTCACATTTAAAAAAATTTTTAAAAAAAAGTTTAATTTTTAAAAATCAACAAGAATTTATTTTCTTTCATTCCTATCTCTCCTCCAGTTAAACCAAAAAGAAAGGGGGAAAAACCCCTCAAAACTAATATGCATAGTTAAAGTGAATTCTTATATTGATTATGTGTAAAAATATATGTCTCATTTTTCATCTCAACCCCATTATCCTCTTTCTTTCAGGAGGTAGGTAGTATGATTCATTTTCAGTCCTCTGTAGATGTGTTTTGTCATCGCATTGCATTAGTCAAAGTTCTCAAGCCTTTCAGAATTGTTTTTCTTTATAATGCTGTTGTTTAATTCTATATATGTTTATTCTGCAGATGTGCTGCTCACTTCACTCTGCATTAGATCATACAGGGCTTCCCTGTTTTCTCTGAAGCTGTTCATTTCATCATTTTCTTATGGTGTAATAGTATTCTGTTACAGTCATATACCGTAATGTTTTTAGCAAGTCTGTAAAAGATAGGTACCCCATTAGTTTTCAGTTTTTTGTTACTACAAGGAAGAACTGCTGTTAATATTTTTTCATTACTAGTTCTTTTCCTTTTTCTTAGATATCTCTAGGGTAAAGTGAAGCACATAGTTCCAAATTGCTTTCCAAAATGGCTGGACCAGTTCATGGCTCCACCAGCCTTGCATTAGTGGACCTGTTTTCCAGAAGTCCCTTCAGTAATTGTCATCTTTCTTTTTTTGTCATCTTTGTCAGCCTGACAAGTGTGAAGTGAAATTTCAGAAATTTGTTCTAATTTGTATTTGTCTAATAGTGATTTGGAACATTTTCCCTTATGGTTGGGTATAGCTAGAAAACTGCCTGTTGCTATCCTTGACCATTTATAATTTGGGGAATGGTGTTCTTATTTTTACAAATTGAGATCTGTTCCTTATATATTTCACATGTAAGGCCTTTATCAGACAAACATGTTACAAATTTATTTTTCTGAGTTATCTTCCCTTTTAATTTTAATTTCATTGATTATGTTTGTGGAAAAATCTTTTAATTTTCCATAATCAAATTGACCATTTTGTCTTTGTGATTTTTTTTCCCTGTCCCTTGTTTCCTCATAAACTCTTCCCTATCTATAAACGTAAGAGGTCAATTTCTTCCTTGCTCCTCTAAAAGGTCTGGGTAGGATGATGTCTTTAAGAGGCCACTAGGTAGCCCAGGAGAGTGCTGACCAGTGTTCAAAGTCCACAGCAGACACTTACTAGCTGCTTGACCCTGGGCAAGTCACTTTGCCACTGTGTGCCTGTAACCTCCACTGTAAAATAGGGATAACAATAAGACCTACCTCATGGGACTGTTGTGAGGATTAAATAACATAATATTTATAAAACTCTTAGTACAGTGCCTGGCATATAGTAGGTGCTTGAGAAATGCTTTTTCCATCCACACTTTTATGTCTTAAGTTATGTGTCATTTCGAGGTTACCTTGCTAAGGTCTTATGTTCAGACTGCTTTACTGTTTTCTCAGCATTTTCTATTGAATAGTCTTTCCTTTATTGAATGCTGTGGTATTATTTTTGCTCCTGTGTGTTGTGTACACTATCCGTTCCATTGGGGGAAAAAAGTCTGTTTCTTCTATACTTTTGGAACCTTTCCCTGCTTTTGATACCTTGTAAATCATTCCCTTGATATTCTCACACTTGTATCGCCTTCAGCATGGATCTTCTCAATATCTGCTAGATCCAGTCTGGCTGCTTTTTTTCCCCCTCTTTGTAATCTTCTTTCCATTTTCCTCTTCAAAGGTCCCTGGGATGACTTTGCTGGATAGCTTGCCAAGCTTTCTTTAGACTGGTTTTACCCTTCACTGCTTCTTTCTGTTTTATGAGATGGCACTGCTCATGATTGTACATCATCAAGATTTTTCAGATGAGTTCATATGCTAACATAGTGTTGCCTTTGGTAGCAATCTCTCTCTGGAACATAAGTCAAATGTGTTCTGAGTAAGGTGCTTTAGGAACTCTTGGTCTTGTAGCAATTAATTTACATTGGTTTTAACTTTCAGATAAAATTATTATAGTTGGTGTCAGTGTTGTTTTTATTGTACATTTCCCTTTTTGATTTTCAGTAGCTTGTTAAAAAACAGGTTTAAATTTTTTTATACATCACATCCTTTTCTCTTTATTAGTATTTTGATTGGAGCTCTGACAAGTCACTGTTCTGGCTGCGCAGATAGCTGATTCAGATAACTCCTGTGTACAGAAGTCTTTCTTTCTGTGAAAATGTAGTCATTGTCATTCTTTGTGGTATTTAGTGCTCACCATGTCTAGAATCTAGTGTGTCTTTTTTTTTTTTGAAGAAAGTTTTTTGGTATAGAGACCTGAAATTTCCATATCATTATCTACAAGCCTTTGACTTTTCTTTCTTTTTTTTTTTTTGCCTTTGGCTTTTCTTGTTTCTTTGTTCTGAGGCATATTTTCCCATCTAATTCTCTCCATCTTGACCTTTTCCCACCTTTGCATTGAAGTCACCAAGAATTTAGAACATGATTTTCATTCAATTTGAAGGGTCTTACTAAGTTCATCATAAAATTTCTCTACCACTTCATCCTTAGTAACTGATTTTGGTGAGTAAGGTGCAGTTATTGTCATGATCTTTTTTGCA